AAAAAAAAAAAAAAATCTCGAGTCGAGAAAAAAATCCTAGTTTCGCCTGCAATCGTTGATCAGTATATTCTATGATCATATATGTTATATAAAATAGTTTGAAATTTTATTCATTACTAATCAAGAAGTTGGACTGCCATGATTATATTAGTCAAATTTTGGAACAAATTTGAAAATGCGTACAGGAATTTTAAAATATTTAATAGAAGTATAGTTAACGAAAATATTCGAACGCACAGAAACTTTTTATGATATATTATGTACATAATAAAGGGTATTATATCCCAGAAGAATTTGCATGTGTTCAATAAATATTTTACAACTTCTATATATATATATATAGTAAAATTGATTTGATTTTATGAATACAATCAATTTTAATGTTTTATGTACATGTATTTATATGTTTGAATAGTTTCATGATCTGTGTGTGTCCAATTTGAGTATAATCACACAACGTCAATGAAATGTTTTATAATATAATTTGTAAAAAGTTTATATTAGTGTTCGAAAACTTTCACCATCAACTACATGTGTTTGTATTAAATATTTTCTACATCTTATGTATGTATTTTTACATTTGTTTCAAATCTTTCCAACAGTGGGTATTACATTGCATCTGGCAGCAATGTGTTCTAATAATACTCAAATGATTTCTGTAATTGATAAAATATTTTCACAAAAATGTTCGAATACATTTCATCTTGTAATTTTCATATTTGCTCCACGTAATACTCATCTTTCACCGCGATATTAACGAAATTCCAGTACGTTTGCACCGGTACGAAAAGATCTCTTTCATAACGAGCATTCAGATACTTTCGCGAGCCCGCCCGTAAGTATAATACTTACGTAAGTGAGAGCACATAACGAGGTGAAATAATTTCACCGATCGAACCGTGATTATAGGACTGTTACACTAACAAAACGCCTGTCCATTAGTTTGACCGAGAGAAGACGAGAGAAGAGCTAGCCGTCGAACTCTCGAAAAGTTTCAGCAAATTGCTAAAGTCTAGAAACTAGAGAGGGAGGGTAGAGATCGGAAATTGCCGTGGGTCAATCCACGGAAAGAGGGTAATTCGATTGATTCGTTCTAGGAAGTAGTGTACCGATCGCGCTCTTTCTCTCTCTCTCTCTCTCCTAATTTCTTTGGTAATTTCAGACTCTGCTCGTACGCCTGC